CTATGACCTCGGTTTCTTTCCATTTTATCAGCGTATTTGGTGGCTCTGTAACTCAGTACCGTTAAATTATATACATGGATATTTACTTCTAGGTTTGTTCGGTTGTTTACACGGGAGAGATCAAACCCACCTCCATCTGCTTCCTTCGGCTTTGTGTAGTTACGCAGACGCAGCTTCACCCACATACGGTGTGTATTTTGTGGTTATGGGGCTAGATGCACTGGCGTTTCCTACTAATTAGATATCAATTGACTTGAAAAACACACGACCTAATCAACTGAAAAAAAATGGAAATTTTCTATAGGCCATCTAGAGTGATTAAGGGTTCATGTTGTCATTGTGACCCGATGAAGAAATTCCACAGCTCCTGGAATCGCAAGGATTTTACATGATTTTTAATGGTAAAACATCTGCAAAGTTAAGGGAATGCCATTGGAAAGCGTTTCGCCCCTTCATGGCAGAGTGGGAACGTAAGGTGTTAACCCTTTGTCCATTGTCCATTTTGAAGAAATTCCACAGCTCCTGGAATCGCAAGGATTTTACATGATTTTTAATGGTAAAACATCTGCAAAGTTAAGGGAATGCCATTGGAAAGCGTTTCGCCCCTTCATGGCAGAGTGGGAACGTGAGGTGTTAACCCTTTGTCCATTTGACCCATTGTTTGAAATTTTCAATAATCAACATCCATTAAACTTACTGCCAACAATAGACCCGGGAGCATAATTTTTATAGATACCACTTTTTTCAAAAGAGACTCCATAGCAGAAACGAATAAACTTTATATTAAGGTATATTTAAAGGAAACTGATACGCATCAACTCCTGCACAAGAGCTCATTTCATCCAGAGCATACCGTTTCTGGTAGGTATGTTTAAGTCACAGGTTTTACGATTTCACCGAATTTTCACAAGATCAAGGGATTATAACCAAACCTGTACGATTTCTCGAAACTAAACGATTTTTACGAAATTCCACCCTAGGGAATATAAGAGCTAAGAACAGATCCTATGTCTAAATACTTAAGGATTGCTCCTTATCAGTCAAATAGATGTCAAAAAGTGTCCCTTTATATCAAAAATCATTTTTAATATGTAATATCACTAAGAAAAGGTATTCTATTCAAAAGCGTCTAACATGTGAAACCTCGAATTTAGTTTACTTAATTTCATGTTAAAAAAAATATCCC